GTCCTGAGACACAGAAGATCAGCCTCACTCAGAGTTCTGACGCGTGTTGGATTTTAGCTTCGTCAATAATACATATAATTTGATCACAGTTCAATTTTGTTATATTTTTCAGTTGTCGACATTTTGTTTTTCGACATTCTGCTCTCTCGGCATTTTGCACTGTTGGAAGACACTGTCCGGACAGTTCCATTTTAAAACTTTAAATTGATGTGCGGGTCCGAATATGGGGTAAACGTCGAGAAGAGTGGAGTGAAGTGTGTGCACACACTTCACTTACTCAAGCATGCTTAGCTACTGGCAGTAAGTTAAATGTGTACATTATATATTTTGTTGATTTTATTACGGATGTATCGGAAAGTCTGCTGAACATTCTGTGGTTGTCTTGCAGAAAGTAAAAATCTGCACAAGTTCTTTAAAGATTCTGCTTCTTGAAATTTCTTGATCAAGATTTTAATACAGAATTTTCAAGAATATCAAGTTTAGATACATCAACAAACCTGATCAAGATTTACTACGGTTCCAAGTCTGACGTATCTTCAGAATTCTGTATCAAGATCTTGTTGTTGTCTCTATCACCGTTTTTGTTTTGTAGTGCCTATATATATATATATATATAACAGCATCCGCACTGTAACATATTGAGAAATCTTCAAGTATATTATGGACATAACGTTCAACTGAACAGCTTCGGTATTGTCTGAACGGTACCGTAAGAGCTGTGAATATTGCGGTACTGTTGGTACAGTGTAGTACTGCAGAGTGAGCGCAAAAGAATACAGTAGATAAAACTAAAAATAAATGAAAATAATATCTAAACAATCCAAACAACTATTCTAGATTTATACAGATATCCAAAAACTATCAAAATTCTGCTAATTAATTAATAACTAATTAATAGCTGCGTCAGAATTAGTTACAAATCTTGATCAAGTTTTCCAAGACAGATACTATAACAAAACTTGTCGACAATCTTGAATTGTAAGATGATCTCAAGATCTTGTCATATATCGATAAATCTGTATAAGATCTTGAAAGAACTGAACAGAAGCTTCAGAAATCTTTCAAGTTTTTATTAAGATCTGCAGTCAAGATTTTTTACTTGGGATGTCCTGAACAGTACATTGAAAATATTAAATGTAAGTTCAAACGATATAACTGATGATTGTGTACGATTATTAGGGGAAATATTAAAAACAAATTAAATGATAGAAACAATTGATATACACAATAATGAATTATCAGTTGATACTCATTAATTAATCAAATCGATACCACGAATAGTAGTTGAATACCAATACCACGGCCAAGATGTAGCGAAATAAATAGATGGAACTATGTCCATAAGATTGCACACCTTGTCGACTGGAGATATATCCCGCTTCGGATAAAAAAGATATCCTAGAATATCGCCACCAGGAATTTCGCCATCGGAATTACGATAGTCCAAATTCAGAAGGATTTTTGTGGTATAGCCGAATATACAGAGCAGAGCTGCCAACAATTTCGACAATTGTCGAAACTCGATATGATTATCTGCGTATTTACAATACCTCGACAATTGCCGAAAATCCATCGGAATTTCGACAGTAATTCTCAGTTGCACCTGAAGTAAAATTTTTAATAGTATACACCGTGCATAATAATAAAACAATACACTGTGTTTTTATATTCTATAATCCGTGTATTCTAAATAATGCCAGGAATCATTCCAGTAGACTTGTAGATTATGATTATTTCATTTCATTTGCAACTGAAGGGAGATGATAGACTAAGGACTGATTCTTATTTTGTCATTTTATTTTTATTTGTGAATTATTAGAAGAAATCGAAATTTATTGTCGAAATTACAAATACTTGCGACAATAGCCGAAAAACAACCTGAAATTCGATCATGCCAAAATCAGATTTGGCTTTCGACAATTTGTCGAAAATATCGATGGCGAAATTCTAGCTGTCGATCTTCCGTTTTAACTTATACTACTCTTATTAAACCAATAATAGTAGTTATCATATATGTTACAGTGGAAATTACAACTGCAATCTCTACTGTCCCTCCCTCCCATAATAGAAGACCATCCCCTATTAGAAGAACATTTTGTTGAAATTATTTTGAAAATTGCCCTATTGCATTTCCCGGCTGTTTTTGGCAGACATAACAGAAAACCATATGTCCGCCAAAAACAGCCGGGAAATGCAATAGGGCAATTTTCAAAATAATTTCGACAAAATGTTCTTCTAATAGGAAATGGGCTTCAAGTATGTGGAGGTCACCGATGGACTACTAGCAGGCGATAAAACTTGAAGCATATGAATAAAAAGTGCTACAAAGTGGAGGGAGTTTTGTTACCTTAGACTATGGAAAACTTTTGAATGGTAAGAAATAGCGAGGTAAAAGAATTTCGTCATCACACTTTTAGGTAGTCAACATTTGTGTTTCAATGTAGGACAAAAAAGTTTTTTCCTGAGAGGACCCTTAGCATAGGCATAGTATTTGACAAATTGTTCGCTATTTCACCTTCTCAACAGTACGAATACAATAAACGGCTTTCACGAACCTAGTTCTAATAATATTAATATTGAATTAGCAGTTCGACATTGTTAATCGGTACAAACACTGTACCAAGCAAATCTAATTTAATGAGCAATGACAATAATCCTTGTGTATAGACAAGACAAATTACCAGATAAATTAATTGTATGCTTATTCTTATTAGAAAGAACATAGCCACTTGAATGTGTTTCTTCCACTTGTTTAAAGTTGTTTCTGATTAAGCAGTTGTCGGGAAAAAAATTAAATTACTTAGGTTACATACAGACTCTCTCTCCAAGTTAAAAATACGAAATAGTAAATTTTCACTGGATTCTTATCAGTGGAAATTGAAATTTTAAGTTCAACTAGTGGAGAATAAAAATTCCACTAGGCAATAATGACTATCACTCATATTTCAATCTCCACTATAGTGGAATTCAAAACAGTAAAAGCAAGGAAAGGAAAGAGATTCTTATACATTTACAAATCCCACAGTAGAGAGTGTATTTGGAACGCTTTTCGAAGTTTTTGGGAGGTCGTGCCTGTTCATTCACTTTTGTTTCTTGGAGAATTTTTATTCCCTAAATGACCTCATTGATCCTGAAAGAGCGTGTAGATAGTCGATTTTGACTCGAAGAAATTAGTGACGAGTTTGTGCAGTGGGCGAAGAGGTCGAATAACAGGTTCGACTTGTACTGGATTGTATAAGAAAATCCGATGCTTATTGCAGCAAAAGTATATAAAATTACGTAAGTTAAAGACGAGTCAGCAAAAGTCTGTTGGAAGAAAACTGTTCGCCCTCTATGTACAGTCATCTAACCCGTGCCCACAACAGTATTTTCATTTAAAATTTTATTTATAAAATTCGTGTTGAGATACATGTTTGTGTCCAAAAGTATAAAACTATTTACTTAAGTGCTTCTGAAAAATGTTCGTCTATATATTATTAATATTACTGTTACCGATAATTTAATTTAGAAGCAAGAATATAACTGTTGCTGAAAAGAACGGTTGCTGCACTCATCCTATTCTTGACAAAGAATCAAGAATAAAGCGAAGATTGCCATTAATTTAATTTACATCTTCAATATCTTCAACTGTCAAATCGGGCTTTTCTGATTGATATCCCGGCAGAGAAGAAACGCTAAGCATTTCTGGATACGGTGGAGGAGGAAGAATTGACTTTGAGAAGTAAGGCGGCGGAGGAAGATTATTGGCTTGTGGTTCTTCTTCTTGTTGTCTTTGTCGGTGTTGTACTTGTCTTTTCTTTTGATTTCGAACGAGTACGACACTAATTACGGCGACAACAATAATTATTAGAAGCGCCGAAATAGTACCAGCTATTATTGTTGTAGTGTTCTGAAATACAAATATACAGTTAAATGAGCCTTTTATGAGCAAAGAGAAATTACCGATTGAGCTACGATTGTTTGAGAGATGTATAACACAGCAGGTGCTGGAGCTACGCTAGTGGATATTCTGGTGGTTAATGCTATTGTGTCTAAAATATACACAACTTATTCTTGACAGACTACTGCTAGTTCACTTACTTGCTGAGGTTGAAAGTCTGGCCAAAGTCGTTGCAGTGACAACAGTATTAGCAGATTGCTGATTCCGACAATCAAAATTGAATCCCGCCGTGCATGTTGTTATGTCCCTGTTGCAATTTGCGCTTGTGCAGAAGCACAAACAGGTGTAGATACCTGGAGTAAACGTCGGTTTTAAATAGAGCAGACTCGTCGTACTTTCAAATACTTTATTCGTCATGTTGTATCCATTACTAATGTCTGAATAGATGTATCTGATTATCTCCGTCAAATCTCCGGCATATTCGTATACCGTCTCGCCTTCAGGTCCAGTCAAAGAAGAACCCGGCGTGTATGCGAGGCCACACATGATACCGTTCGAACTCGCAAACGAGATGCAGGAGAAAATATTCGTACCAGGTGGTGGGTTATACAGACATATAACATAGTTCGTGTACACGCAAGAAGTCTGGCTGGTCAGCTGGGGTAACAGCAGAGGTAGCAAAGGTGGTGGACTCGTGGCCAGTGTTGCATTGACCGATGATTGACAAGTGGCCATGTCGCTGTTGCAGTTGTTCGTCGAACACACGCATAGTGTGACCGTGGAGATCGACTGATACGGACGAGGCGTGCAGGATCCATACCCAATGTCCGTAGTGGATGTAAAACCTGTGCATTGATTCTGTTGAATTATTGGCCGATAGTAGTTAGCAATTGAAATATAATTGCGAGTGACATGTGCATCATCCATTTCTATCACACAATAATCGGCCGCTGAACTCGCAGATAGACAACTGATACTTCGGCTAGTGTACGTTGTGGTTAAAATATTGACGGGATAGAAGGGTAATGAGACAGTGTGCTTTATCAACTCGAGAAGAACAATGGCAACTATCATATTTATCTGAAGCCGATAGAGATATCTAAAGCAATCCTTCTATTTTTCGTCAACTAAAGACTGTGCTCTTTAAAAAAGAAGCGTATTTTATAAAACGCTAACAGAAGGTTTAGTAGGCAAAAAAGGGTTTTCATCCTTCGTACTGAATCCAAAGGGTTTTTGGAACGATTCAGTAAACCGTTTTTGCGCTTTCTAAAACCTTTTTCGTATTTTAAAAAGCTTTAGGTGTCTTCTACAAAACCGAAACGAGTTTATGACATCCACTAAAGCTAAAAGAATACTTAGCACTATTATTATAGGCTTATTATAGGCTATTATTATAAACAGACAAATCTAGAAGGAAATTGCTTCTACCTGACACAACAAAAGAACTTAAAAAGAAATTTCCATATTTCCATATGAACGACAGAAAGTGATTGGACAGAAAGGAAACGAATGACTAATAATAGTGGCAACACGTTTGTTTCACCTTACACAAAAGAATTTAAAAAGGAATTTTCCAAGTTAAAAGCAGTTTTCTTTCTGGATTTGTCTGTTTATAATACCCGAGCAAAAATTCTCTATGGAGTGGACCTACCTCCAACACAGGCTTAACCGGGCGGTTATTCACTTGATGGATCTAGCTAAATGTACCTTTTTATCTAGTTAGCTAGCTCCAACCTAGTAGTGAACCGAGCAGTAGGTTATCATAATCGAGTAGGAGCGGGAGGTTGACATCTAGGTTAACCGCCAGTTAACCGACCGGTTAAGCTAGATCCAAAGACAAAAGATATTTGTTAAGAGGGAGGTTATCAACTAGGTTAGCCGGGGGGTTGGAGTGCCCGGTTAACCGAGTGGTAAGAGCGCCCGGTTAACCGGACACCCTAAGCTAGCTTAAAAAATAAGAAAAAAGGAGTATGTGCCTAGTCGAGCCACAGAAAAATAGAAAAAGAAAAAGATTAAAGTAGAGATATAAATATATTTCAAGAATAAGAATGGTCACATTACAGTTTTAACATCTACTGTACACACTACATTTTAAACGAGAATTGCTTTTGTATATATACATTTTGTTGTATTAATTTTATACTAATTTTATTTTGCTTTATGTTATACTGAAGAAGGTTGCACGTTGCAATCGAAACGTCTAACTGTTGAATGTAAATAATAAGTTTTACGAAGACAAAGTATATATTTTATGAAAAAACGAAAATATAAACTTTACGTTTCCTTCTACACCCTCTTTCCCTTCTCAGCTATCCTTGGTGATAAAAAATGTAGATTTTAGAATAAATTTAAATGAATTTATAGAGGATTTGAAAAACGTTCATCCTGAGATTCACAAAGTTATTAGATTAAAGAACAAATTCCAAAACGATATTAAACTCATTAAATTAGAAATCTTTGTCTAAACGTAGTGAAATATTAAATGATGGGAAATTGAGAGTGAATGGAATGACATACGATGTCGAAGAATATTTAAGTCCAGCTACAGTCCTAATTTGTTCGAAGTACCAAGGTATTGGCCATTTTCGTCGTCAATGTATGCATATGTATGAAACTTGTAAAGTGTGCGGTACAGAATGTGCGGATCTTCGTCAACATAATTGTACAAATGTTAACAAATGTATACATTGCAATGGCAATCATTTGTCGAATTCTATTAAATGTCCAATTGTAAAAGATTATCGTGCTGCTCTGACAAAGAAATTATTGTCATCAACAGCAACATCCACAAATAATAATAATAACAATTACGTTTACAACCCAGCACTCGATCCTCCTCTTCTACTACCTCAAGGTATGTCAATACCTAATGCTTATAGTTCTGTCACGAATAAAATCGAGGAACTAATTGATGGTCTGGCTAAAATGAATGAAACTCTGGAGAGAATGGATTATAAGAATAAAGAGGTTGGAAATTTTATGAATGTAAGAAAGAAAAATGATGATTAAATTTGATTGATTTGATGATTGACAATAAATATGTGAAAGAATCTAGTGAATTAAATGAAAAATGGATTAAAAAAATAGTATTACTTACTTTGGATTTAATTTCAAAATTTCTACACCTTTTTTTTGATGTACCTCGCAGGTCAATTTGACTGAGCGAGAATTTTTTTCTTCTCAACGTGCAGTCAACTCTCTCGTATTTCGATTTTTCTTTTTTGTACGAAATTTTGTTAGTATGGGAAAGTTCTCTTATTCTCTCTGATCTTTTTCTTAGGACTAACGATACGTCGTCTATTGTCAATTCCATGCATATTCTTTCCTTTAAGGTTAGAGGGCTAGATCTGCGTCAGCAGGAGGTACTTCTTCTATCTAATGGTTCAATTTTGACATTTTAATTTTATTAGAAACGGGACACTGTGACCTGATTTTCTGTAAACAAGCTTTCTCTAACCTTAATTTGTTTTATCATAGAGGTGAAAATGCGAATGGTGGTGTTGTGATTTTAGCGAGAGAAGATTTAAAAGTTAAGAGTTTAGATTGCGATATTCGTAACATATGTATTGTTGATATTCTGGAAGGAAATTAGAAGTTGAGAGTGATGGGAGTGTATGCTCCTGACTCGAAATCCTGGTCTTGGAACGAATTAACCCAAGTTAACCCAATTTGACAAGTGGCCGTGTCGCTGTTGCAGTTGTTCGCAGAACACACGCATAGTGTGACCGTGGAGATCGACTGATACGGACGAGGCGTGCAAGATCCATACCCAATGTCCGTAGTGGATGTAAAACCTGTGCATTGATTCTGTTGAATTATTGGCCGATAGTAGTTAGCAATTGAAATATAATTGCGAGTGACATGTGCATCATCCATTTCTATCACACAATAATCGGCCGCTGAACTCGCAGATAGACAACTGATACTTCGGCTAGTGTACGTTGTGGTTAAAATATTGACGGGATAGAAGGGTAATGAGACAGTGTGCTTTATCAACTCGAGAAGAACAATGGCAACTATCATATTTATCTGAAGCCGATAGAGATATCTAAAGCAATCCTTCTATTTTTCGTCAACTAAAGACTGTGCTCTTTAAAAAAGAAGCGTATTTTATAAAACGCTAACAGAAGGTTTAGTAGGCAAAAAAGGGTTTTCATCCTTCGTACTGAATCCAAAGGGTTTTTGGAACGATTCAGTAAACCGTTTTTGCGCTTTCTAAAACCTTTTTCGTATTTTAAAAAGCTTTAGGTGTCTTCTACAAAACCGAAACGAGTTTATGACATCCACTAAAGCTAAAAGAATACTTAGCACTATTATTATAGGCTTATTATAGGCTATTATTATAAACAGACAAATCTAGAAGGAAATTGCTTCTACCTGACACAACAAAAGAACTTAAAAAGAAATTTCCATATTTCCATATGAACGACAGAAAGTGATTGGACAGAAAGGAAACGAATGACTAATAATAGTGGCAACACGTTTGTTTCACCTTACACAAAAGAATTTAAAAAGGAATTTTCCAAGTTAAAAGCAGTTTTCTTTCTGGATTTGTCTGTTTATAATACCCGAGCAAAAATTCTCTATGGAGTGGACCTACCTCCAACACAGGCTTAACCGGGCGGTTATTCACTTGATGGATCTAGCTAAATGTACCTTTTTATCTAGTTAGCTAGCTCCAACCTAGTAGTGAACCGAGCAGTAGGTTATCATAATCGAGTAGGAGCGGGAGGTTGACATCTAGGTTAACCGCCAGTTAACCGACCGGTTAAGCTAGATCCAAAGACAAAAGATATTTGGTAAGTGGGAGGTTATCAACCAGGTTAACCTACAGGTTAGCCGGGGGGTTGAAGTGCCCGGTTAATCGGAAACCCTGAGCTAGCTTAAAAAGTAAGAAAAAAGGAGTATGTGCCTAACGAAAATCGAACTCACCGACTGACACACTCGGAATTGAGATTAGAAGTACGCGACGTTTTAACCAACAAGCTACCAGGCACACATATAGTAGTTGATGATCGATGAAATCATTCAGAACATATTTAAAGATTTGTGTTTTCTCTGTGAAAAAAACAGTGTTCTCTCTGTGTGCTGGGACCAGATTTTCAGAAATCGTTCTTCCGGGAAAAAAACAGTAAATGTTGTTTTTCATCCTGAAGATCGATTTGTACACAGCTGAATCTAGCAGATAAAACATAGGAAATTAAATTTGCCATATTTTATCTCGAAACCCACGTTTGGACAACTCTTTCTTCATAGTGAAAAATTAGAAATACCATCCTTTTGCCTAGCTTCCAGCTTTACGCCATGAAGGAAGAGTTTTCCAAACGTGAGTTTCGAGACAAAAATATGGAAAATTTAATTTCCTTCGTTGTATCTGCTGGATTCAACTGCGTACACGTCGATCGTCAGGATGAAAAACGTTTTTTGCTCAAGTAACAGCCTAACAAGGAATTATTTTCTCTCTCGCGAATATAAATACTCGGGTAATCTCGTGTAACAGTCAGTTAGAATTTTTAATCATATATGTGAAGAGTGTTAAGTATTCAATAAAAAGAAAGCTTCATTCAAGTACTAAGACTAGATTCTGAACCACATTCAGCATCCTGCGGTTGGAACTGCCATCGTGAGTATACGATCTGCAATAACACGACCGTAAGTTGTTTTCAAATATCGTCACACTTAAAGGACAATTGATTTCGATGAATAATTTCCTGTCAACTAGAGTACCTTGGTTCGAAAGAGAGCTGGTCGAGCCGGTTAAACAAAAATGTGTTTTACTTTTTAACGTATATTTTATATACCGTGCTTATGAAAAATCTGCAAAAAACAAAAGTGGATGAACGCGCATTAATTCTAAAAATGTCATTAATACTAAAGGCGACAGTTGCGGGCGAAATTTTAATTTCATTTTAGTCGTAGATACTCTAGAATGTTACTAAAACAAAAAGTGACTTTTCGAGTCAAAACATAATTACTTTGAAAAGGAGAAAGAAATGAAAAAGTTGTGTTCTCCAAGGACACATGCTACACTCTTTAGTTACCGAAAAATAAAAGTATCGCTTTGCTTTAGATATCTCTATCGGCTTCAGATAAATATGATAGTTGCCATTGTTCTTCCTATGTTTATAAATCTCACCATCTCACTAGCGCTTAGGGGTGGCACTTTACGTTTACTGCATGGATCTTGCATGTCCCGATCATTTCAGACGGTCTCGAGTACTGAAGGCATCATAGGATCGATGTAAACTTCAAAAAGTGATTACATCATGTTCTCGAAGAAAAGTCCGAGTAAAACATGACGCAACGACAGCCAGAGAGGTAATTAGATCAGAAACTCATCCTAATTATTTTTTGAAAGAAAACATATTTCATAAGGTTTGATCCAGTTATAACAACAAAAGGATTCATAATGCGAGACACTTTAGTAGTTTCACTCTTAGGCAATGGGAAATAGGATTAATTCGTGTAATGGTCATTTAAAACTTCGCTATTTTTCCAAATTTATCGTTCGTTCCGCCAAGAATAGGACCAATTGACAGTTATTACAATACCTATACATATTGTAACCTATACCGGTTGTAACCTATACCGGTTGTAACCTATACCGGTTGTAACCTATACCGGTTGTAACCTATACCGGTTGTAACCTATACCGGTTGTAACCTATACCGGTTGTAACCTATACCGGTTGTAACCTATACCGGTTGTAACCTATACCGGTTGTAACCTATACCGGTTGTAACCTATACCGGTTGTAACCTATACCGGTTGTAACCTATACCGGTTGTAACCTATACCGGTTGNGTTGTAACCGATTATCGATTGTAACCTACACTGGTTGTAACTGATAGTTATAATCCGTGTTCTTAGAGAAGTTTTATGACAAATACAGGGTGGCCCATAAGTTCTGATACAAAATAAAACTCGTATAAAATAGAAACAAATAAGAGAATGGGGATTTACTTTTTAATACTTTATTTATTAGTCAATAAAGATTTAAAATAAATTTAGTT